CCTGAGCAGTTCCTTAACTTCACTGAGACAGTTTCCTTGTCTGTAAGACAGACTGAAATCATACCCGCCATCTAGAGTTGTGGGAAAACGCGATGGAACAATCTGTGTCGAACGTGTGCGGCCACAGCCAGGGCTGTGTTGTCATCCCCGCCTCCAAGGGGCCCCTTGGCAGAGCTTGAAGGGAAAACAGGAGGAGGGACTCCAGCCCCGGCTCAGACCTGCTCTCCTGAACTGGCACAGCCCTCTGTGCCTTCCCTGGCAACCGCCATCCTCCCGACTAACTCCACACAGGACCAGCAAAGACATATGTTCATTGCAAATCTCTAAAAAGATTAATTTATAAAAAGCTTTTTAGTCATCAGAAACCAGAGGGCGTTATGCTAAGCGAAATAAGCCAGTCATAAAGGATGAATACTGTGTGATTCTACTTCTGTGAGGTTCTTAGAGGAGTCATATTTATACAGACAGAAAGTAGAAGGGTGGGTGCCAGGGGCTGGAGGAGGGGGATGGGGAGTTAGTGTTTGATGGGTGCAGTTTCTGTTTGGAAAGATGAAAAGAGCTCTGGAGATGGATGGAGGTTGTGCAATAACGTGAATGTACTTAATCGCCACCAAGCTGTACACTTAAAAATGGTTAAGATGATAACTTCTATGTTGTATGGATTTTATCACAACTAGAAAAAAATTCTGGAAACAAATTAAGCCTCTTAGTCCTGCACACTTTGCTCAGATTTCTTCAGAGGCTGTGGGAACTCGTGTGGATTTGGTTCAATTACAGCACAGTGACCTCTTAATCGGGGCTCAAGTTAGTGTTTAAGGTGCAAAGTCACCTTTGCAAAATGCCTGTGTGGCCCAGGGATCAGCCAAGCGTGGGCCCAGCACAGCCAGAGCTCCCGCAGCCCGGAAACAAACCCTGTTCTTTGGGGCAGGAGAGGGATTTGTTGATTTGTGTGCAGAGGTCCCAACACAGTGTATATTGTGAGCATCTAAATGTTAGAACCCACAGTGCATCCTAGCGAGATGCTCACGCTATGAGACGCCCTTAGAACCAAAGCCCACTGAGGAAGTTGCGATTCCCAGCCCCCTCCTCGTGTTCTCTCAGGGCCCAAGCAGGGAGACTGGCTGGAATCGCCATCCCTATTGAAGCTGCAGCTTGCTTTCTCTTTTCACCCTTACGCAGAATTGAATGCATCTGCACAGCAGGGGCGTGCAAGGCAACGCCATCCAGGCGGCCTTTGTCCAGTCCATGGAAACTGACACAGGCCTTACCGTCAGCCCTTTTTCTAGCTGCCTCTGATGGGTCTTAAAGCCTAGATTGTTCTCTGACCTTTGACCAGACCTGTCAGCCACAGAAAAACAGCCCCTTCCTCCCTGCTGCCCCACAGAGATGTGTCCACCACAGCCTGCGTCTCACAGTCTTAGACACCTGGCCACACCCCAAATTCCCCGACTTTAAAGGATCTTTTCACACCAAAGATGCAATTCCTGGGGCCATAGCTCAAATCTAAGGCACAGGGTTCCTAGTTTTTCGAAAAGATCTATTGTCAAATTACAGAACACTCCAAAGAGAAGTGACAGATGACTGTATTTTGGCAATGGGTGTTCGCAGACAGTATCTTTCAGGCAGGTTTGACCCCCATCTCCTTCAGAAGGGTTTAGGTAACACCTAGCTCAGTTCCAGGCTCAGTTAGGGACACCATAAAAAAAAATGACCAGCCACCCTATCATCATTAATTGGTGCTATTCTAGATCAATAGAATTTAATTGGCAGTAAATTTGAGTTTATTCAATCCTTGAGGTCCAAGGATTGAAAAGTAAACTAATGAATGTGGCTATGAACTTTAATCCCAATTTTGCCATCAGATACCTTGCTGACTCCCAAGTAAGACTTTCTATCTTGATTTTTCTCATATCTGAAAACAGGAGAAAAGAGATCTGTACAAGTGCATAAAAAGTGAGAGAAAGAGAAAAAAAGAACATAGAGATGCTCGCTGGCAAGGTCACTTCATTTTTCTACCCTGCAATGTGCTCTATTATAAACCTAACAGGGAGAAAGTGAGAACATTGCCTTCATTTGCATAACTGCAGGGCATCTCAGGGCTCATTTTTCTAAATCGGTTTGGCTCCAGGCACTAGGTAAATGGCACTGCCGAGCACGTCGAGCACGTCGCAGAAATACTAAAACAATAACCACTTACAAGTACAGACAGAGGAAATAGTGAGAAGGATTCAGATCTCGAGTCAAGTAGGAGCAGTTGGCAACCTGTCTCAGTGACAAAGTGTTCTTACAGAAGGTGCTCTGCACTAAGCCAGTCCCTTTGTACCATGTCACAACTGAGAAGCCAGCCCTCTGAGCTCCAGCTAGCATCCTGACTGGTAAAATACGGACCCAGACTGTCCTGCTGGTACCTCAGGAGTGGCTGTGAGGCCCATCAGGCTTAAACATGTGGATGGTGTGAGAGGAAAATACATCTCAGGACTCCAAAATCACTAAGCCAAAGGGAAAAGTCACGCTGGGAGCTGCATCAGGCAAAGCTGCCTCCCATTTTATTTCTAAATAAGAGAGCTGCAAAGATAAAACCTACATACCTCCCTCACAAATGACCCACAAGGAACTTCCCTGTTGGGCCCCCAGATCTGTACCCTAAAGCAGTTCTGTTGAATTTCACCCTGGCAAAGGAAATTGACAGCTGATCTTCTCAGGTGTGAGACAAAGGCCAGAACTCGGTCATCCCTCTGCTCACCTGAGATGAATGAATATCTGATTGCTTCACGTGCCCTGTGTTTGTTATCTTCTATAAAAATGCAGATTCCGTGAGCCAGACTAAGGCATAAGTGACTTTTCCTCTACTCTAAACACACAGGTAAATTGTGTATTCGGTGGATCAAAGACTGATCAACCAAAGGCTGATCAAAGACCCAAAAGGATGCAATCATTTGTCTCTTATCTACCTACACCTTTAAAAAATTTATTCCTCTTCCCCCAATATTCACTCCTTCCCCTTTAAATATTAAGGCCCTCAAAATCATCTTTGAGGAAAGTTATAGACCTGCCTCCCAGGCATGCGTCCTTAACCTTGGCAAAATAAACTTTCTAAATTGTTGATACCTGTCTCAGACACTTTTGGTTTACAGTGGGTTTGGGAAACTGGGAGTGTGAAGCCAGGTGAGAAATTATTATCACATCTCTTTGTTAACAGAAAAAACTCTGTAAAAAAGAGGTCTATTCTGAGCCAATATAAGTGACCAGGGGCCAGGGAACAGTCTCATGAGGTCCTGAGAAAGCTTGCCCTAGGTGGTCCAGTTACAGTTTGCTTTTACACATTTTAGAGAGACAGGAGTTACAAGCAAAGACATAAATCAATACACAGAAGGTATACATTGGTTCAACCTAAACAGGTGGGATATCTTGAAGGTGCTTGGAGGGTGGGGGTGCTTACAGGTCTTAAGTAGATTCAAAGATATTTTTATTGGCAGTTGATTGAAAGAGTTAAGTTTTGTCTAAAGACTTGAAGTCCCTAGAAAGAAATGCTTAAGACAAAGGAGGGTTGTGAAGGCCAAGGTTCTTGTTATGTAGATGAAGCCTCCAGGTAGAAGCCTTTAGAGAAAATAGATGGTAAAAGTCTCTTTTCAGACCTTAAAATTGCCAAACTCTTATTTAATCTCTCCTAGATCTTGGAAAGGCCTAGAAAGGGAAGGCCTGATTGTATTAGTGGAAATGCTCTACAGATGTAAATATCTCCCACAAGAGATGGCTTTGCGGGGCCGTTTCAAAATATGTCAAAGAAATATATTTTGGGGTAAAATATTTGTATATTCTTCAGGGTTTGCTATCTGTTATGTGATGCTATACCAGAGGCAGGAATTTGGTACCTTATTGCCACAAAGAGTCTGTTTTGTCAGTCTTATGATCTCTGTTTCAATGTTAATGCCGATCTGCTGTGCCTAAACTCCAAAAGCAAGGTGGGTATAACAAAGCATGTCTGAACTCCATCCCATCACGGCTGGGAAATCAGTTTTCAGGTTTCTCTGGGGTCCTCTTGATTAAGAGGGGGCTTGTTCAGTCAGTTGGGGGGCTTAGGATTTTATTTTTTGTTTACACGTCAGTAGGAAACATCAAGTCAGTGAAAATATTAGGAACCTTCTATAACATCACTAAGCACTCAGCTAGCTCCATACACCATACTGCAGCTCGTCCTTGAGCGGCAGCAGAACTTAATTGTCAGTCATTTGGGTTCTGGAGTCCAGCTGTCCAGTTTCCTCAGCCCAGCTCAGCTGTGGATGAGCTTTGTGAGCTGACGCAGCTAATTCCCTGGCTGTGCCTCTGCGTCCTCCTCTATAAGCTGTGGGTGATGATGGTGACGTCACTTCACAGGTTGTAGTGATGGTTAACTGTTGCATGTTAATAGACCCAAAGGGCTTAGAACTGTTTCATAATAAAACATCCAGTACCTAGGAACCAATTTTTGTTTGGCTGTTTCAAAGCTTTACTAAGAAATATTTCAGGCATTCTAAAATGTTTAAAGAGTAATGTAACAACATGACACTCCCCAGCGTAAGAAAGAAAACATGGCCATCACAGTCAAAGCCCCCATATACCTTTCCCAATCACAGTCCCTCCTTCCCACCTAGAGGCAACCATGCTCCTGAATTTGATAGCTGTCACCCTATGCTTTCCTTTATACTCTTCATCTGAATGCAACTCTAAACAATGAGAAGGCACTGGAAGTATCCTCAAGCCAGGACTAATATGCATGTCTTTCAGAAAGATTTAGATATAGCAACTAGCCTAGCACAAAGTATTGTTTTGCAAGTACACCTTCATTTGTCACCTTGCTTTCTGTGTCTTTTCACCTCCCTGAGCAGGGAAAGTGCTCGTATTTCTAGACGGACCAATTAATGATCTAAGACATTAGTCAGGGCCCTGCTTAACCAGTCTGTGCCTGTCAGGGACTCTGGAGCCACTCTCTGCTGACCCTGCCTGCTCCCCCTCCCTTCCAGACAGAGATGCGGCTGCAGGACCAGCAGCTGGCCAGACAGCTCATGCGCCTGCGCAGCGACATCAACAAGCTGAAAATCGAGCACACCTGCCGCCTCCACAGGAGGATGCTCAACGACGCCACCTACGAGCTGGAGGAGCGGGACGAGCTGGCCGACCTCTTCTGCGACTCCCCTCTTGCCTCCTCCTTCAGCCTCTCCACTCCACTCAAGCTTATTGGTGTGACCAAGATGAACATCAACTCTCGGAGGTTCTCTCTCTGCTGAGGAGCCCTCAGACTGGGCAGAGGGGCTGGAGCGGAGGGCTTGGGCTGGAGGGTGTTGGAGGAAGCTGAGGCCAAGTTACTCCAGTGGGTCTCCCAGAGGCAGGGGTCCCTGGGACTGGCGACTCAAGGGCCCCAGGACCTATTCAGTGGTGCTCTCCCAGGGGCCCTGCGTGTGGGTGCCAGTGTCTCTGTGACTGGCTCTTGCTTAATACCCAAAGAGCTCTGCAGAAGGGCCGCTCCAACCAGATGTTAAATGAGACCTGGGTTCCCACCATAATCCATCCCTCCATGGTCAAACGTTCCTGTTTCCTGGAATCACTGGTGCTATGAACTGGGATTCCCAAAGGGAGGCTAGCCCACAAAGCTATCGTTCTTGCAGAAGGCTCTCCCGCGAGGGCCTTGGGGAAATTAGATGTGTCACATGTGCCTGTCTCACGTGCTGTTGCTGTCCTCTAAGTATCGTCTCAAATTCACCCTAAGTACATGACTCAGCAACATTGACAGGGACCTACTAGGAAAGGAAAATCGAAAGGCATGACAAATGGGCACTTGGAGATGCAGCCCCAATGGCTGGCAGCCAGTCTCTGGTGAGCCTGAGGCCCAGGCTGCTGTCAGTCTCCCACCCTGGCACTACGAGGCTGTGTAAATTGTAAATTCTGGCGTGTGCTGGGACATGTGATGGGGGCACTAGCGTAGCTTGGGTGCAACAAGCACAGATGTCCCCGTTGTCTCCCCTGGCCACATGCATCTCCAAAGAGCCTCTTCACTGCCACCCACACCCCAGGGTGACAGCCTAGGAGACCACTGGTGACTGAACCAGGCAGGTCCTGAATGCATTTCCCATAATTGAATTCTCCTGGAGGGGCGTGACCGGCGCCTCCTGGTGGATTCTGGTGGTGTCACCTTACTGCCCTCTCCGGAAAGACAATCGAGGGAGCCCAGAGGCCCATCCTGAGCCTCCTTTTAGATTTTGTGCCTGACCTAAACAACTAGTTTTCATCCAATAAGACTGTTACTGATGTGTTGTTCACTTGTTAATAACTGAGTTTTGTCCAAGCCACTTGTGTAGGTCAACTACAGTGTGTAGGATTTGATTTTAAGAGTTTATCCCTCACAACAGGCTTAAGGATCAGCAAGTTAAGACACCAGCAGGTTAGGGAGGTCAACCTGGGGTCATACCTCGGCCAGACTGGTAGAATCCTAAGATCAGAAGTGTTTCTGACCTTTGATGTCATCTGGTCGAGTCCTCTCATTAGTAAAGCAGCAAAGTGAAACCTGGGGGAGAAGGACTTCCCTCAGGTTGCACAGCTGTTTAGGCTGTAGAATATTGATGTGAAACCATTGTTGATAATGCCTAGTAGATCACATGTCAATGAACTTGAACCCCAAAGATGGTCTTGATGCTTTGCCAAACCCGCACACTGCCAACCCCTCTACTCTCCACCTCAGCCCCCACCACATCTCCCAGAGTATTGCAATTCAGAACATTTGGGTCAATGTGGAGCCAGGCATGGACAGTGGCCCCACAGGGCATGTGTCACTAATCACTGTCCCATGGTCTACGCACGGCGTCTGGCTGCTCTGTCTACTGTGACTTCTTCCTGTGTCATCTCAGTGGGGCCCGTGTCCACCCACACATCATGACCCACATAGGGGAGAGGTTCCTTTTCTTTTGTGGGCTGAGAGTAGGACAATGCAAATGAAGGATCTCTAGTAGACAGAAAAGAACTTGGTCTCTTTTTTATAATTTCAAAGAGCCAGAAGTTCTATGCTTCCTTCAAAGTAGGTAGAACAACACAGCCGAGATCTACTGTCTGCCGTGCTCCGTGCAATGAAGTCTGCAGGCCTGAGGACCATGCACTGCTGTCCTTCCTCAGAGCTCGGCACAAACACTGCCAAGTCCTGAAGAGGCATTCCTTTCCTGCCAGCCTCCTTCCAGATGAGCCCTTGAGGTCTCGGGCTGACCTACACACACACACCCCCACTCACACGACAGAGAACACACCGTAAACATCCTTGAGCCCATGCAGGAAAGCCCATCCCATATTCTGAAAAAAATGCCAAATTAGGTTTTTCTTTCTTTTAGAGATCAGTCATTACAGTAACTGAAACCATTGGGTTCAACTAAAACGGAAAGATTTAGTTGAATATAGTCAATCCAATTAAGTTGGATGCAACTGAGTGATTTAGTTGCTCGGGTAACCCAGTGTTTGCTTGCTTTCTTCATTCTCTGGGAGGAAACTAAGATCAGACACATGTTTGAGGATAGGTTAAATGTCTGAGCTATTTTGCTCAGCTTATCCTAAGAGAACTTTATTATGGGATGAGGAGGTGACCCCAGATGAGAAGTGGAGGGGACAGCGATGTTTTCTAAGCATCGTCCAGTGTTGGCTGGCTTCCTTACTTTCCACAGTGAACACAACGAACCACATTCATTCAGCTTTGTGAAGTCCCTGCTCTCCGTGGGTCTCTGAGTCAGCAGCAACATTGGCCTAACCTCCATCCCATCCTCCTGGCTCACCACATGTGTACAGTGCTGTTTGCAGTTGTACTCATTATCCATCCATCTCTCTGCATCCCCAAGCATCCCCGGGCATAAAACGTGAAGTCTCCACCAACGCTGCTGTGTGTGGTCGTGTCTGATGCCTTCAGGGGCTCAGTAGCCATCGCAGAGGCCTGGAGGGCCTGGGCAGGCTTGACAATGCCTGACCGAGTCCAAGACCCACTCCCTGTAGCAATACCAAGTGCTATTACATAATCGATGGACAATTTATACTTTTATTTTTTATGATTATTTGTTTCTATATTGCTGTTAGAAAAAGTGAAATAAAAAGACTTCAATAGAAGATACCCATATAAAAAAAAAAGAGAGAAAAATGCTTGTCCTTTTAGCTTTTCCGTGTTATAGCACACACAGGGCCAAGCACTTAAAGAAAGGAAGGATGGATGGATGGATGGATGGATGGATGAGTGGATGGACAGATGGGTGGATGGACAACAGACGGAAGGAAGGAAGGAAGGAAGGGAGGGAGGGAGGAAGGAAGGGAGGGAGGGAGGGAGGGAGGGAGGGAAGGATTTTTGCAACCAGATGGAGGCATGGGATGAAAGAAAGAGATTCACCCAAATCACTCTTCTTCCTTTCTTGTGTCTTCCCTTGAGGAAGCTACTTGGTGGTTATTACCATCGGGAGTTCCACAGGCGAGCTGATGTAGAGTTAAAAAATGCTGTCTTTATTCTTGAATTTGACTGAAGCCAGAGCCAAAGTAAACCTACTCTCCTCCAGTGGCCTTTTCCAAAGGTGATCATATTGCCTGAAATTTTTTCAGCCACTTAAAGCACCTCTTAAACCTCAAAATCGAGCATGCATGAAAATCACCTGGGCTGCTGTCACAAATGCATATTCCCAGGAGAAGTACTGGGTTCCAGCCCCAGGGATTCTGGCTGTGTCACTCCAGGCTTCACAAACGCCCCAGGTGATGGACACAGGTGGTCCAAAGACACTTTGAGAAACCTTTGGAAGACAAAGCAGGCAAGGGAAGGCACTGTTTTTCATTGATCCCATATCTGTGTTCTCAGCAAAGGCCAATGTCAGAGGGTCAAAGCAGGTGTCAATAATCCCGTTTTGTAGAAGGAACAACTGAACAACAATTGCAGATCTCTGTCTATCCCTTGAGATGATATCCCCTGCCTACACCAAGAGGAGTGCCTGTGATGTCTCTTTCCACACACAGCACACAGTATAAGCTGCTGGGGGGAGCAGCTTATACTGCTGTGAGGTGGGTGGGGAGTGGGTACTTGGGAATCTGCCATCCGCCCTGACCATGTGGTTCAAAGGGCATTCAAGAAGCCAGGGCCTTTCCACCCTGCCAGTGGGACCACACACGCACTTTTTCAGCCCAGAGGGAAGAGAATGTGACATCCAAACAAATCCAGCCATTATTAGTGCCACGGAGAAGATAAAATGTGAGACAGCGCCCCGTGTGGCGGGGGGTGCTTTTCCGAGATGGTCAAAGCTTCCTGGAGAAGAGCTATTCCGGCAGCAGCGGCAATTGTGCAGAGGTCAGGAAAAACAGTGCTCCAGGAAGGAAAAGACAGTCCCAGGCCCTGAGGTCTGCAGAGGGAGGCCAGCGCAGCAGGCGGCTGCAAAGGCTGGCGGGGGCTCTCCAGCCTGGTAGGGCAGAGTCAGGAGCTGGGATTGTATTTGAGTGGTGTAGGAAGTTTTCTGGGGTTTTTGAATGATATGTGATGTAACTTAAACTTTCATAAAATCGAAGTAGAAAGTACTTACTGCTGTGTAGAGAGTAAGCGGGGAGGAGGGGCAGAAGTGGAGCCCAGAGGGCAGTTAGGGGCACGGGCAGTGGACGTGAGCATGATCTAGACGGGGCAGCAGCTGTGGAGGGGGTGAGGAGTGGTCCGATGGGTATTTGCTTAAAGACATCTTTGGGGACATACTTTGGGGACAATTAAGATGTGGAGTGTGAAGGAAATGGAGGAACTAGGGATGACCCTCCGGTCGGCAGCTGAATGAAGAGGGGGTGCCATTCACTCAGAATGAATGGGGGCGGAGGGGTGGCAGCAGTGATGCTGGTTCATGGTATATCTAAATGTCGATTTAATACAGGTGGGGAGTGAGCTGGACACAGGGCCTGGAGTTCAGGGAAAGGGCCAATGTTGGAGACATACATTTGGGAGTCTGGATTCAGATGTTAGATAATATTAAAAGTACTGTACCGGCCAGGCATGGTGGCTCACGCCTGTAATCCCAGCACTTTGGGAGGCCTAGGTGGGCAGATCACAAGGTCAGGAGATCGAGACCATCCTGGTTAACATGGTGAA